ACTTATACAAGCATAGCTTTATAAATTTTACAAAATTGACTTACTGAGGCCAGTAGTCATCAGAACAATTTGATAAAACTGGTAAGTGATTACGGCTTTCTCGGTACAGCAAGTAACCGGGGCCACAACATTTCTGACCAAGATTATTGTTCATATTATAAAATTTGTAATAGTATTAGTATTGCTTCTGCTTCTCCTTTTTGCTGTGTATTTAGCTGTGAAACGCTGATTTATTAAAAAAGTCCTGGTCTGCAATAGAGGAAAAATTAGATTAAGCTGCAATTCCTTGTAAACCACACTTGTATACAAGCAGTGTCTTAAATATATAAATTAATAGCTGGTAATTCCAAAGCGCCGGAAGAGGTTCCATAAAGTGTTAAGTTAAAAAATGGTATCTAGTCCACGGCAGCTTGTAATTTTGGCAATTTATTGTCTTAACGATAAAGCTAATTCGCAATTAATAAATAATAAGGTTACTTGGCTATACTATTTTTATATTAATTTTAAGATATTCTCTCCCCAAAATTAAAGGACTATACAATGTGTCTATAAAATAAAAGATAACTAACAATTAAGGTAAAATACGCCATCTTAACAAATCTAGCGCCATTGTAAAACTTTTTATACTGTTGGCGTTATAGGTATTTGCATATCTTGTTCATGTTTGACAAAACTTAGCATTTTAAGTGTAGCATTTTTACAGTACTTGTTATTATACAAGAGCGAAGGTAGTTCGCCTTGACTTCCCTCGTGCTAATGCGCGTTGTTAGCTCAAAATTTACCTTTCTTTGTACAATATTTACTATTTTTCTCTGCGGTTTTTACTTTTTTAAAAATACTGAAGTTAAAAAAAATCAACTAATTTCACTAATAATCATTCCTTGTCATGGCATATATGATCACGAGAAGTTTGTAAACGAACATAGCGATACGGAAGATTTCGGTTCTCCTACCTTTAATAGGTATTGGAAAGTAGATTCTTGGTATCCTTCACTATTATAATAGTTAGTGATGATTACCCTTTACATTTAATAAAGGCTAGAGCCACATACAAATAAGTTGGTGCTTCAAAGCTTTGAAGGTTTAAAAGAGTTGTACGAGCGAGTTTCTAATAAAGAAAAAGTCTTTCTTACCTTTTCAGGTGGAAGAACACGAAAAACTGCTAAACAAGTGTCAGAAGCGTTATCATATTATGAGTTTCTTCAAGACTTTTTTTTATCTAACTTTTCTAAATTATCTTTTTTAAATATTTATAAAATATGGAATTTAAGCAAAAACGACACTTCAATCTTATTCAGTAAAGTTATTTTAGAAGAATACGCTAGAGACTCCTATGAAAATTTGCTCTTCTCTTTGTGCCTATTTAATAATGTTTGATCTTCTTCCCGTTAATTCTGCTATTTTTCTCTTTTAATGTTGCAAAATAGTTGACAGGTCGTTTTCCTGATGAAATTTTGGTGGTTAATTTCGACTTCAAAAAAAAAAGATTTCTCGAAAATCACTGGAAAAAAGGAATTCAGCCTTGGCTTCCTCCTGATTTGGAGGATATTCAAGTCCAGTATAAGCCTCTTTTTTCTGAGATTACGTCCACCTTCTATTTTATGGAGCTAAATCAAACAATTCCTCAGTTTAACCAAGATCCCTACGGGTGCTTTGGGAATTTAAAGAAAAAAAAATTAAGGCGAGATCCGTACCATACGGAAATACCTTATTTACAACTTAGTTATTGTCCCAGGCTTTACCCTTTATTAAATGTCTGTCAAAATTCAGTTAATAAGAAAGTCTAGTCAGTACTAAATAATTTTTTATTAAAAATAAACAAAGGAAGTTATAAAAAACTTTTTTCTATTTAATCTGAACATTGGCTTAATATATTACTGCTTTTAAAAGATTTTAAACTTATAGTTATAAATTTAGCCTTAAACTTCACACCAAAAATAAAGACTTGTTTATAATATTTGTTATAATTGAGGATCTATAAATGTTTATGATCAATTCATTTGTAGTGAATGGAGTAGTTTTATTTTCCAATAAAATTTGTTGGTATTAATGTTATTATTACTAATCATTACTGTATAAACTTGTTATCTTACCTTTTTAAGTTTACTTAAGCTAAACTATTTATTTATATAATTCCTAGTTTATGATAATTCTAGTTTTCTGTGCAATTACTTATAAAACGTTGCAAGCTCAGTATTAAAAAAAAATTACTTGAAGGCTGCATTTAAAGTTTAAGTCAGTTGGCATTCTTATCCGAATTAACGCATAGTTATCGGTCAAGTGCGAATTTGTGTAATATTAGTTTCAAGTCAGCTTACTTATTTCTTACTCAAATAGGGGCAGAGTAACAATATATATATACAAAAAATTATATACAAGGGTATATATTAGAATATAAAAAAAATTAATAAAAATACAAAGAGAACAAAGAATCTCTCAAACAAAAAAACTGTATAAAACTCTATCCTTTATAGTCTATATAGTATGTATTTCAAAGTTTTTTTTTTTTTAAATTAACTTGTTTATTTAAAAATATTATTAATAATATTTTATAAAGCTTATGCCTATACTCATAATTTTAAACCAAACACTTAATTATTATGATACAGAAAGCCCCTTCATGGCCTTCGCTTTAATATAAAATAATTTTTATAGTTCGTCTTGATTAGTTCATCAAGTACAGCGCCCTAAAAACGCCACTCATCCAAATATTATTGGAATGAAGCCTAATAAATTGGTCTCATTCTTATTCTCCTATCGTCCCGCTCGGTTTTGGCCTTTGTGACTGTTTTGTTGACGTTTGTTTTTTTTGTGTATATAAGTATATTAACACTTTTTTTTAACGTAAGTAATGCGTAAAAATTTTAAAATAAGTTTTCTTTGGATTATTTGTTTGAGAGTTGCTAAGCTTGACAAAAGTTTAGCTCTCCGCGTTAACAGAAAAATTTTACTCTTTACAACATTAATTTTAACTTGCAGTATGCCAAGTCCCTACTTAAGATTATCTAGCTAAGAGTTTTAAAGGTGCTTTAATGTTAAAGGAGCTGACTTTATACTGCAGAATATTGTGGTGATATCCGAATATTGAACCGTTTAACTTAGTACTGGTATATAATCATACACAAAACCAAAAGTAGGGAGCGAATTTTTTTGGGGAAAAATAGATTCTTCTGAGCTTTTATAAAGGAATAATCCTTTTAAAGGAAAGGATTGCTGTGTTATTACGTTCCATTCCGTACAAAAAGTTAGTTATGTAAGTTTAAAAAGTCTAATGAGTCCAGATTTTAAGAATGAGATGAGCTCTTTCTTTTATGAATTCATAAGCGTTTATAAAATATTGTTAACCTTAAAATAATATAGCGTAAAATGGGAAGCTATTAGGTACGTATCATTAACCTAAAGTTACTAAGAAGGTAACGATAACGCTTCTCTTTTAAAAAATATATTCAGTTCTTAACAATTGTTATAGAGTTGTCATCATATTTTATTATTTGCTAAAAGATATAAATATGTTCTGTTTTTTTGAGTAATCGTAGAATTTTACATTGTTAGTCATTGAAAAAATTGGACTATTTTGGCCAAATAATTATATGAAAACATTATAGGCCTATATACTTTTTTCCCATTTTTCATAACCTCTCTTTCACCTAAATTCTATTTATTCTTAACTTTTCCAGATACTGGATAATTTAACAGAGTATTTAGGCCCTATTGCGTAATATATATATGCGGTAAAACTGCGCTTATATAACGTAAAACATTGCGCGTCCTCGTCCCGTTTGGCACCAAGAGAGCCAGGGGTTAAATTTCTTTCTATTAAACCATTAATATTTAAAAAGCAATTTTAATAGTGCTTTAAAGCTTTCAGTCCTCACAATCTGTTAAAAACCAATTTAGTTTGCTTACGTCTTAAAAAGAGTGACTTGGTTTATGCAGACCGATACTTTGCACCGCGACCTTCAGGTAGAATCCCTCATAACAGCCTTAAAGTGCAACGCTAGCTAGCGCCCTCCACGAGAAAAATAATAATGGGAAGAAACATGATAATGGCATTCGAGCATTGTAAATTTATTAGACTTTGTACAAAACAAAAAGATTCATGTTCGTTAAAAGACAAGGGAAGTAAACTTCTACCCGTAGGAAATATAAAGAATTTCGAGGACTAAACTTATTTTGTATTTATAGTCAACTAAAGCCCGTTAAAAAACTTCTCTCTTCAAGGTTTGTTGACTTGACAGAGTCCCATAGCATTTATTCATAAACTCAGTAAACAAAAAAATAATTTTTTAGCGTTAACAGATATAAAAGGTTTAGGGGTCTTTAGCATGAGTTTATGTCCAACGCAATGGAAAGGAAAAACTGTTTCACGCCAGACCTCGTTATTGTTTATATGAGTAAAAACTTATATAAATAAAGCTTAAGTTGTAATCATTTTCTAAAAACAAGCGTCTCTCTTTATATAAGTCTAAAAAGGTACAATTATACTAAAAAACCTTCAGTTTAATATTCATAGAGGCAGATTATAAGCTCATTATTAATAAATTATGTAATATCTAATTCAACACAAATTTTTATGTAACCTATTTGATATTTGACTTTATTATTAAATTGAATGCCGAGGCCTTCTAACGTTTAACCAACGCCAAAATTGGATGATGCGCAGTTCAAGGGGATAAAATACATAGTAAGGTTAGAAGCCTTTAACTTTTAAATAAAATGTACCCCTTTTTGAAAACCCTCTGTGCCCACGGGGGAAGAGCTCTGGCCGGCTGACTTTCCTCGCGCGGACTTTCGGTTTGAGCAAAATTTAAGCATTTGAAAAATTTTTGTCCGCTTTCTTTTTTTTCATCCTTGTTTAAAGTTTTTACAGATGAATACTTTTAAAGGATATTGTTTTTAAAATCTTTAAGTTAGCTTTAATGATATTTAAAAGGACTATATTGATCTGTATAGATTTATAACTTTCTTAGGAATTTGTAGAATTTTTTGTATTGATACAAATGTGCAATAATTCGGACGAAAAAGATTATGCCTATCGCAACAAAGGCGAATTCCTTGATTTATTAAATCCAGAAGTTTGTTTGTTATTATTTTATTAAAGTGAAACAATATCTTATCTATTATTTTGTTTTATTTTTATTTTTAATAAATATATCAATTATTATTACTTTTTTAGGGCTTTTTAGCTGTCGATCAACTTAGAAAGTTATCCTTAACAGGAATTCCCGATGATCTCAGATCCTCTGTGTGGAAATATTTATTAGGTGTTTCTATCAGCGACATCGGTTACTATACATATTTTTTTAAAATTAATGTTTTTTGTTCTTATTAATTTATACTAATATTTTTACTGTTAGAATTTTTATAGTTGTTTTTCCCTATAATATATTTAACTTACACATATAAACTTTTATAGCTTATTTTATAACTTATTTTATTATAAAATTTTATCTCGAACGTTGAAACTTATAAATATTTATTAAAAATTTTTCTTAGCTGAGGAGGAGTTTAACCGGAAAGAAAGAGCACAGCAGTACGCCTCGCTTTTTCGCGAATATTCTGAAGATCTTAAATTTATTAAAGTAGAGATTTATCGCTATCGTAGCGATATTCCCCTTTTTTCAGATCCCAACGTAGCGCTCTTTAAAATTTTTATATAATAATATTATTTCCTTTTTTTGTGATCTAAATTTTTTTATAATATTTTAATTTTTTAAGCTATATATATTTTTTAAAAGGCTTTAATAAATCTTTGAATTAGAAGTAAGGTTAACTTTTTTGTAAAACTAATAAATCTCTTTTTTTTAAAGAATTTAAAAGAATATCATGCATTTTATTGTAAACATTTACGTTTTAAATTTTTTCTTGTTTTTACTTTTTTTTTAATATTAAAATTTTATTTTAAATTTTTTTCAAGGTGCAGAAAACATTTATAAATGTCATCACGAGCTACCTTACGCAGAATCCACAGCTACGCTACACGGCTTCTCTCGTGCATCTCTGCGGTCCTCTGATTTACGTATACTTGCACTCGCCAGACACCGAGTTGCCAATCCCGAAGCAAATTTGCTCCTTTTGCGAGCCTTTTGTATACTACTCTTTTCAATCTTTGCTCTCCCGGCTGAGTTAGTATACATATTATAAAAAGCCACCGAATTTTTTAATTTCTTGTTTTAAAGAATTTGATGAAGACTTTGAAGATTATTTTAGAGAGATGCTCGGAAATTTAATAAATTTGATGCGAGAATTGATTCCTGAACTACAATCCCATTTCGACGATGAGGAACTGGAGCTAAAGGATTGGGCACACTCATGGTTGACACCACGTGACTTTTGACGCACGTGGGAGCGCCGGGGTGATCCGCTTCGCTTATTTGTCGGCAGGATTCGGTCGCTCCTGGCGTACGAGCTGCCCATGTGCTGCCTCCTCCGCCTTTGGGACACGTACTTTTCCCACGAGGACGGACTTGGTCTACACCCGTACGTTTGTTTGGGTAAGCGTGCATGTGACTGGGGATGCGCATCCCGTTGGAATTAAAACGGAACTTTTTTTCTTATAATTTGGTAGCAATTTTAGTTAATTTGAAAGAAGATTTAGAAGAGCTTGACCACTCGGATCTGCTACGTTCGTTACGGAAGCTTCCGGATATGGATATGGATAAGGTGGTACTTTATTATTATTATTATTATTATTATTATTATTATTATTATTATTATTATTATTATTATTATTATTATTATTATTATTATTATTATTATTATTATTATTATTATTATTATTAAACAGGTGATCGCGCAGGCTTTCAATTTTAAGTTTGAAATTACCGGGAAAAATATTCTTTAAAATCACTTAAAGTTTTTTCAAATTACTTTAAGAAAAAAGTTGGTACCAACCAGAAGCCCACCTGATTTCATTATTTTTTATTATAAAAATTATAATATAAAAGTATTTTAGTATACTTTTTTCATATGTTCAACCATTTTGTATGCTAATAAATATGTTTTTTGTTTGGTTGACTAATTATTTATATATATATTTTAATAAAAATATATAAATCTATAGAGTACATTCATAATATTAGGAACTTCGATAATATTGATAATAACTACTAATAATAATAGTAATTATTATAGTAGCAATTTTAACCATTTTTTTTAACTTGAGGGAAATTATATTAATAATACTATCAACTTTCCTCGTTTTACGCGAAAATTTTTATAAAACCACATCGTTATTTATTATTACAAAAATAATTATATACTTCAAAACATATGTAAATTTTTTATAGTAAAAAAAAAAAGTATTGTTAGTACCTATGGAAGTACTGAAATTTATAAATGAAAATCGTTAAGTACGAGGGTAGCATGCTAGCACTTTTTCAGTGCTACAACTGAAATTTATTTAGATGCCTTTTCATTATTATTATTCTTGGAAAACGTGATTTTTATGAACGATTATTAAATTTAACTTATTATCGTAATAACTACAACATTCCAAAACTTTTTCGTATACTGGTAAAAGGTTTTTGGTACTCGGAGTAATTTTTATTTAAATCTATTTAGTAATTTGCTTAAAAAAAGTATTATGCTTGACCTAAGGCGTATTTAACATTAAGTAAAAGAATAGAATAATTTTATTGGTATTTGATAGTAGGACAGCTCCGTGATTATGATTGCTCCTCTTTAATAGATTTTTATTTTTTTATTAGAGTTGCGCCTACCATACAAACATATTAGCTTTTATAACTAATATTTAATTTAGATATCATGGGAATTATGTGTTTAGTTAGTGAAGTATAATTTTAAATGGAGATAAGCGGATCATAATATTGTAATATGTATGAAAAGTACCTATAATTTTACTAATCCAGAGGTATCTTTAGTATTTATAAAGCTTAGGTATCATTATAGGTTTGGTTATTTTTTTTTTTATTCGTGCTTCTAAAGAAATATTCTATAACTCAAGTTAATTTTAATAATAATAAAATCCTTTAAAAGTTTAATTTTTAAGTTATTTATGGGTTACAAAAGTTATGGGTAAAAGTTGTACGGGGAGTACAATACTTTAAAGTAGTATAAGAGTATCACCATTTTAAATTTAATATTAGCCTGAAAAACATAATTTAAAAAGCTTATTATAAAAGTTAAACTGTATATGCTATCAATTTCTATAGTAATAAACCATGAATTGCAGATAACCTTGAAAATTTTTTTGCTATAACCCCCGGGTGCAGTTTGGAACGGTATATTTTGGTACAGGTTACCTGCTTTTAAGGGCCTTTAAGAGTACATAAGGTTGATGAAGCTTCATAAATACTTTTAAAATTATTTTAAGACCATGTTTCTATAAAAAGTTTCTTATAAATTGCCTTGACCCCAATAATTTATGATTTATTAATTTTACAGAAAATTATCTAAGCAATTCTAGCTTTACTAAAGAGTTCCATTGAACAAACTTTATAGATGGATGTAAGCAAGCTTTCTCATATGTATAATGATTTGCCTAACTTCCCATATAGTTGTCTACGTGAGATCTTCAAATTATATTGGAAAAACTAAGCTGGCTGCGTTATTGTTCCAATTAATGAATTTAATTACGCAAGGTAACAGGATAACTACAATAGGTCTGTTTTTTTATTTATTCTTGTTACAATCCCTGCTCTTGAAACTAAGGCTACAATTTATCTGATCCTTGCCAAGAATAAAAGAAGTATACGTATTCCTCTATAATTGTTACTTCAAGATTCTGCAACTCTAATTAATCTTTTTTCTTCTTGACTCTAATTAGAACAAATAATAAATAGAGCTTCGTGATAGTAAAAAACTAAATAACTATCCAGAAAAAATATTTTAATAACTGACAACCGGGCAAAGAATTTTACAATGCATATGTATTTTATACAAAAAAGGAATCACTAACTTCATTAATAAGGGTACTTAGAATAAAAACAATAATAGTTGTTTAGTGTTATAAATAATTTAATGAATGACAACCAAACAAATTAGCCTACACTTTACATGTATTTTTATAAATAGGAATCAGGAAGTATTATTATTTTCATTAAAAATGCTAGAAATAATTAATAGTTATTGTATGAACAACAGTTTAATTTTTCCCGACGCTTAAGTCGGGCCAAATATCGTCCAGTCTTTAAACCAAAACTAACAGCACTCACAACGAAAAGGGTATGTACCCTCTACAAAAGATTATATAAGCAGTTCCGTTTATATATTTTTGTTTAGATAATACTTAAGATTCTTTACCATTGTTACAAAAAATTCCAACGACTAAAAGATACCAGACCATCTTTACGGTCTCCCTTTAATAGAGCTGCCTGCTTTTCTCAATAGTTGCTAGGAGAGGAAACGGTTTGGAGGTCTGTAGCAGCCGACGAAGGGACGGCCTTATTTCTGACGAACTAAAAACCACTGCCATACACCACCACCATCACTTGATAACTGCGCGATAGGGCTGAAAGCGAAAAAGATAAAGCTGAGTTCTCTGTCAACCGTTATGATGCTTCGTGCGTGCCTCAAACTTGGTCGGGCTTTAGGAACGAAGGCAAGGCACTGCGTTACCCCTCAGCCGTTGGCAACGGAATTATTTAACTAAGGATAGCCCTTACACATTCTAGCCGGAAGACGCCCGAGTGCTGCCGGCATAACTAAAGAACTGCTAATAAAGTTACCGCCTTTGGCCACTGTCCACCTTTTTTGTGTTGCAACTTCTGCAAGGTCTCTTGGCGCCTTTCCAACGCGATGAAAAACAGACACTGTTGTGATACTATAAATGAAACTTCGCGGACTGCACTAGACGTCCGCAAGAATTAAAAATAGTACTAGTAAGAAAAGTACTCAATACAAACTGGCTTAGCCTTGCGCCATTAAAATTGCTTCAAACTAAAGAAAAGTTTTTAACAAAAAGTTATGCTAAATTTTAAATTATATGAGCGAAGGGTTAATTATATACAACTCCTCTTTTTATGATAAACATTTCCCCCCTACTATCCTATTTCTTACTCTTATTAATATTACTATAATATATATATATAAAAAAAGTTTGAAAATTCAATAACTTTATTGAAAATATAATAAATATATATTGGAATTATTTTTAAGTCAAAAGCAGAGGAAAAGGTTCTTGTTTAGAAAATACAACTGTTGCTTGTGAGTGCGAAATGTAGCCTTTTAGCATTTTCTGTAGTAAAAAATAAAAATCAATAATTAATAATTTCAAATTTATAAACAATTTTATTTATATCAAACATTAATAAAAAATTTTATTTAGCAGAACTTTGTAAATAATATATTTTTATTCATAAATAAAGTAAATAAACTTTGTATTTTATAAAAACTTTTAACTTTTATACTAAAGTAATAAATAATAATAAAACTTTGAAAGTATTACTATTTTTAAAACATAATAAGTTTTACTAAAAATATATAAAGCGCAAAAAAAAAGGCATCAAATGAGCGTCTCGCCTAATAAAAAAGGTGAAACCAAAAATGCTTCCATAAAAAGTAACGTTTTATCACGTGGTTGTGCGTTATCACTACTTTTCATGAATTTTCATCTTCATATAAATAATACTAAAAATGTTTTGTTTATGTTTTGTAATTGTGAATGCAAGTAAAAAATATATAAAAGTTTTTAAGTTTTCTATTTTCATATTTGCTGGCTCTTAACAATTGTTAACTTAAGCTATTGTGATTAGCTAATTTATATGCCTCATAAGTGGTTAATAACCTTTTTTTTAACAAAGAATAAAAGTTTGCTTTTAAAGTTATAAACATGAATATTTACTTTTTTTAAATGCAAAAGATATATTTACTATTCGCTTAATAGAAAATAATAAAAAAAACTGCAGTTAAAGTCTTAAGTAAGCTTAAAAGCTACAAAAAAAAAAAGAGAAATAAAAATATTCACTAAAACTGTAAATTTTTTATAATACAAAAAATTCAAAAAATATAGTGAAAAGTCCTGACCCACACGAAGCACGTGGTACGCACTCGTGAGATACAAAAATTCGCCAATAATCATAAAGCTAAAAATTACGCTTCAAATTTGCAAAATAGAGGATTTCAAGATTGTAACAATAAGCATAATGAGTGTGAAATTAGATGCCAAATTCAGATTGTTTGTTAACATTCAATATAATAAGCATCCAATAAAAATAGCCCGTTCAAACATAAAATAATAGTTTTTCCCCCCCCAATAAAAAATAAAAATAACTAAATAAAATTCAAATCATCGCTCCAATAAAATAAAAATACATACAACTGTTCTAAATATTATGAATAATTAAAAAAATTAGTCACCAATAAATAAGTAATAAATATTTTAAAGATGCTTATAATAGTAAATAACCTCATAATGATACTAAATGCAATAATAATAATAATAAATACTTGATATATAAGATTTGCGACTATACACTCGCACTCATCTTTATCAATTGCAAGCTTAGCCACGCGGAGAGCAATTTGAAACTTTTCAATGGGAATTTTATTCACTCCTTCAAGAAATTCATGCCTTCCAAACATAATAAATTATTCATAAAATAAATTATAAAAGTAATAAATGATAGTAATAATAACTGTATAAATAAATAATAAATGGTATATTAAAAATATAAAAAAAAATATAGTAAATAAAAAAATTACCGATAATAAATTTTCTAATAATAAAGTAAAAAATTAATAGTAAAAATTGTAAAAAAAAAAAAAAAAAAGAATTAATAAAAAAATTTTTATTAACGAATAATAATACATAATTATAATTAAAAAATTTATAATAATATATTAATAATACATATAAACTATTAACGTAAAATTATAATATTAGTAACAAATAATCAAAGAAGATAAATAAATAATAATAATAAAAATAATAAGGTAATATTATATTAATATAATATTAATAAACAAGAAAAAAATTAATAAATACTGAAAATATAAATATAAAACATAAATAAAATATTAATAAATAATACTAATATATAAAAATAGAATAATAAAATAATAATATTAACAATAAACAGTAACAATAATAATTATAAATAAAATATAATAAAAAAGAAAATAATGTTGAAAAAATACGAACAATACTATAATATTTATAAATGACATGAAAAAAAAAATTATAATAAAGGAAAATTTTATATACAATAAAAAATATATAAAATAATAAAAAAAAATGACTATAATAATAAATAAATATTATATTAATAAATAATATAAAGAACATATATAAATAATAATAAACATAACATAATAATACTGATGATAAAATAATTATAATACTAATAAATAATTATAATTTATAACAAACTTTCTTTAAATAAAATAAAATAACAGATAAAAACAATTATAATAATAATAATCATTTATAATAAACTTTCGGAAAATAATATATAATAATTTTTATTGATAATTTATAATATTACTTTATAATTATAAAAATAACATAATAAGAAAAATTTATAATTTACTTAATAATATATAAGTAATAATAATATGTAAAAATAAAAATAAAAAAAAAATATTTAATTATAATCTATAATAAAACTTACTAAAATATTATAATTAATAATACGAGTAAATATAAAATAAATATAATATATAATAATTTATTATGAAACTTAAAAGACTAATAAATTATAATTCTAAAAAAAAACTTGAAGAAAAAAAATAAGATATAAAAATATGTTAAAACATAATAAATATAATAAGAAATAAGAAATAATTATAATTTTTTAATTATTGATAAGAAAACTAAATAAATAATAATAATAATAAAATAAAAATAAATAATAATTTATTATAGAATTTAATGAAATATAATAAGAATAATAATAATTTACAAAATAAAACTTAATAAAATATAATAAGCAATAAATAATAATAATTATAATATAACAATAATATATAATTTATTAAAGAACTTAATAAAATATATTAAGTAACAATAATAAATATAATCATGAATATAATATATATTAATAATATTTATTATGAAAGTTAATAAATAATATAAATAATAAAACTTTTACATTCTCTTGAAAAGATTTCTATAAACTCTTAATTTGAGCCTCTCAAGAACCACGTAAAGTCCGCGTTTCACAAAAAAGTTTTCGTGAGAACGTAGAACATTTTCAAAGCGGCCAACATTGCCTGAAAAAAAATAATGAAAAAAATATTAAGTAAATAAATAAATATAATAATAAATAAAAATATACTAAAAAGTAAAACAAGTTATATAAAAATAAATAATAAATACAATAAAAATAAATATAGTAAAAAATATAAATTTTTATAATAAAAAGTAAAACGAATTAATATAATAACAAAAAATATAATTAATAAAAGCATGAAAAAGAAAACAAAATAAGTTTTATAAAAGTAGATAATAAAAACTATTATAATAAAATTTATAATAAACAATATTTATTAGTAATAAATGTAATAATAAAAAGAAAGAATAAGTATTAAAAAAATAATAAAATATTAATAAAATATTAAAGCTAAAATCAATTTAATATACAAGAAAAGATTATAATAAAAATTATATATTTCTGTATATTTTTCAGATTTTGGTATTATTTTATGTAATATAATTATAAAAAGTTAAAAAAATTATAAAAAAATATATAAAAAAGTAAAAAATAAATAAAAATTGTAATCATATTTACAGCAAATAAAAAAATAAAGAAACAATAGAAAAAATAAAGAATGAAAGAAAACGAAAAAAAATTATTAAAATAAATTATAAATTTACATGTAAATTTAAACAATACAATAAAACTTATAATAAATATATAAACTGATAAAAAGTATAAAAATGAATATATATATATAATTAAAAAGAAAAGTTCTCGTACCAAAAGCTCCACGAAACAACATAAAAAATATTATAAACAAAATAGTTTATAAAAAATAAAAAAAGTTATCAAAAAATATAATAAAAAATAAAAAAAATCAAAATGTAAATATAAATAAAAAAATAACGTTTTCTTATAAAAAACTTCTACTAATTTATAATTATAGTAAATAATAAAATAGAGATAAAAAATAAAAAATATATATAAAAACTGAAAAAAAATTAAAAAATAAATATAAATAAGTAAAAAAAAGTTTCTTATAGAAAACGTCTACTAATTGATATAAAAAAATATAAATAAAAAGAGTAAAGTAAATATAAATACGTAAAGAAAAAGTTTAGTTATAAAATAAACTTAACTAAAATATATATAAAATTATATTTTATTAGAAAACAGCAAAAAATTGGAGAAAAACAGATAAATAAATATTAAGTAAAGAAAAAATATTCTTATAATAAAAAGCCCAACTAAAAAGTATAGAAAATAATAAGAAAGAAAAAACTCAGAAAAATTTAAAAAATTATTGTTGATAAAAAATAAAAACTTAAAAAAAAAACAAATAATAAATATAAATAAGTAGAAAAAAAGTTTTCATATCATCAAGCTTAACTATAAAATAAATAAACAATAAAAATAAAAAAAAATAAATAAGTAAAAAAGAAATCCTTATGGAAACTTCTAAAGCCGAAGAAAATTAAACTAATAAATATAATAGGTAGAAAAAATTTTCCAATCAAAAAGCTCAACTAAAAATTAAAAATAATAAAATTCTTATAAAAAACTTCTACGAAAACTTAGAAAAAATAGGAAAACCTCGACTCACCGAGCGGGAAAGTTCCTCAAATATAAGCAGATTATATTTTTTTAGTAAAGTTGAAGAAGGCCGGATGTTCTGTACGTAATTATAAAAAGTAAATAAAATATAACAAATTTATTTATTATAATAATAGATATCATAAAAAATATATAAGGTTTTAAAAAAAAATAAGAGATTTAATAATGAAAGTAAAGAAAAAATAGATAATTTATATATACGTAAGTAAAAAAAAATAATAACGATAAAAGTAAAAGTTTAATATAATAATAAAAATTTATAACAAAATAAATTATTTTTAGTTCGTTAAAAATAATGAAAATATACAAAAAATAAAAAAAGTTCAGTAAAATAATAATAACGATAAATATAATGGATAAATAAAAAAATATTATTTTTAAAACTAATAATAAATAAGTTATTATATAATTTTTCTTGTGTAAAGTTTATTGTATAGAAAAATGTTCGAGAAAATAATAATAATAAATAAATCAATTTTAAGTGAATATAATAAATATAAAAAGATTTCATAATAATATGGAAAAAAAATTGAAAAAAAATAATACTGAAAATACAATAAATAAAATAAAATTATATATATATATATAATAATAAATATATTTTTAAATTTCTTATTTTAAAATATAGTAGAAGTTTGTAAAAATTTAATGGAGGAAAAAAAAAGTTCAATAAAAAATATATAAAAAAATATTAAATATACTAAAATAAAAAAAGAAAAGCCATAATAATAATAATATTAACAAAATATTTAAAAAATAAGTGAAAATATAATAACAATGAATATAATGAATAAATAAAAAATTATATTTTTATATATAAAAGTTTGTTAAAAGTTTATAAAAATAATCAAAAAATTCAATATAAATAAAAATAACTAGTAAACTCAATAATAATAATAATAAATTTACAAAATTATTAGAAAAGTATTAAAAAAATAACAAAATATTATCAGAAAATTTCATATATCAATAAAATAAAATGAAACAAAAAGAAATAATAATAATAATAATAATAATAAATAAAAGTTATTAATAAAGAAAATTATTATAATAAAAAATAAAATTAAAAAAAATTATTTTTCTTTTATTATATTTATATAATACATATAAAAAAAATATATAATAAGTAAAATATTCTTATATATGACAATAATGTAGTAATATTTTTATTTATTATTATTATTAAGTAAAATAAAATAAAAAATATAGTAATAATAAGTATTAATAAAATAATTAAAAATAAACAGTCAACTACTACTTTATAAAAAAGGAAGGCGCTTTAATAATAAAAAATTGAATATCTTATAATAATAATAACAAATAAATATTTATAATTAAAAATAATAAATAAACAATTATTAATAAAAAAAATTCTTTTATATAATAGTAAAAAAAAATTATTATTTTTAATATTATTATAACTAATATTATAAAATAAATATAAACTTTCGGGTAATACTAAAAAAAATTATTATAAAGAATAATTTATATATAAGAATAATAATAAACAAACAATTATTACTAAAAAAAATTCCTAAATTATTTTTATATTTTATTTGTATTATTATTAATATTTATCATTATTTATTATAAAATATTACTATTTATTATTATAAAATTAATAATATATCATTAGTTATTTCATTATAAATACTTATTAATTATTTTAATATATTATTATCATTTACTAATATTTATTAATACTATCACTATATATTATAAATTATTACCATTTATTATTTATAATTACTTAAACTATTATTATTAATATAATATTTTTATTTATAATTCATTACTGTTATTATTATTATTTAAAACTAACAATAATATTGTTATTATAAAAGCTAACCTGAAGCAGTTTTATAGGAATTAAATATAATAATATAAGTCGCTTATTTTTAGAAAATCGTGCTGGGCAATTCTCAAAAGCGTATTTCAATGATTCTTAATATTTATAATAATAAATAAATAGTAATATATAATAATGCATAATAATAAAAATAAATAACACTGAAAACTTATAAATAATAATTAATAAATATAGTATTATATGATAATAATAAATGACCAATCAGTACATACATAATGCAATTCAAGAAATGTAATGACCTAAAGCCACGCGGTAGTTGCCTTCAAAAAACTTTAAATAGCCCAAAAAAAAGTGAAATGTCACCAAATGCGCTTTTCCGTGAGTTCTTATGTTATTATTATTATATTAATATTATTATTATTTTTCCAATAGAAGATAATTTTATTAATATAATAATAATAATAAGTTTTCTATCAAACTTTTTTTTAACTACTTATGAATAATAAACTTTTGTAATATGTTTATATTTTCAGTATTAGTTATTATTTTTATGTAATAACCAAAACTAAAGTATTAATATATATAATAATAATAATAAATTCCTAAACTTTATGTTTTATTATTCTATAAAACTTTACGTAAAGAATTTATTTCTGCTTCATTATTAAAAAATAAAAAAAAATTCCTCAATTCTAATAAAGTAATATTTTCTGTATAAAAAATTGAAACAATTTGATTCGCTCAAGCATCTTAGCATGTTCCATTTTTTTAATAATGGTCTCAAGTAGCACATGCGAGTTGAGTTTCTTTAAAATTCTTAACATGTTGTTTACCACAAACAGCGCGCCATCGCGCTTCCCGTCTCTTTTGTAATAAAAACATAATAATAACAAATAATAATAATAAATATTATAAAATGTATAAAAAACTATTTATCATAATAATAATTCTATAACTTTTAATAATAATGACATATAATATGTCCCAAAAAACATAAATAATAAAACAAAATACTACTACTACTAATAACTACCGTAATAACAATGATTATACAAAAAACTAATAAACATACAATCAATATATAATATTAATACATAATAGTAACAGTAAAACTACAACATTCAATAATAATATACTTAAAAAAATAAATATATATAAATATAAAAGAACTAATAAATAGTAATAATATCATATGATATAAATAATAATAAAAATATATATAAAATATACGATTATGATATATAAAAAAGAGATTTATATAACAAACAAAGATAAATATTATTAGGAAAATATTATAAAATATATTTTTACTTTCACAAAAGTATCCTTAATATAAAAAATATAACTTTTATTATTATTATTAAAATAAGAAATAAAAATTTTAATCATTATTATTACTACAAGAAAAAATAAAAAAGATAATAAAAATATTTAATAAAAAATAAAAAATAAAAAAGTCAAAGTAAAAATAATTTAAATTTTATATATAAATTTTTATAATTTACTTATGATAATAAAAACTCAAAGTAAATTTTTTAAAAATATTTGTTAAAATTTTAAAATAAAAAGTTAAAAATATCCTTAATAAATACAAAAATAAAAATTTTAATATAATATATAAAGTAAAAAATTATAAAGTAATAAAAAAGTAAAAAATTATAAAGTAATAAAAAAGTAAAAAACACGTTTAGAAAAATATTGAATCCAAAAAAATTATAAAAATAAAAATAGTTATAAAAAAAGCTCGAAAGAAAATAGTTCTGAAGCAAAAACTTTAACTTTTATTAGTTACTACTGATAAAATAAAATATGAAGATTCATTATTGTTATTATTAAAACTGATTTCATATGAGAATAATAGTTATACTTATATTTTATTATTTTTCAATATGATATCTATAACAATTTTCTATTATATAAAAAATTACTTAAAAAAATATATAAACTTTACTATTATAATAAAAACTACAAAATTTTTAAAAATAATAATTATTATATAATTACTTTTTAGAAAGGAAATTTATAAATAAAACTTTTATTGTTATAATTACGAAAAATTCATAATTATAATTATAATCATAAGAAAAAAGTATTATAAAAATATATTTTATTGTTGACAAAAACAAATATAAAAACTTTCATTATTATTATAATAATAAATAAACTAATTCACTATAATAATATTTCATAAGGAAAAAAAATTAATATCATAAAGTTTTCTTATTATAATTTTTTATTATTATTATTGCTTTCTTTTTTCTCGTTATTATTTTATTTATATTTACCTCTACTATCTTTTTCAACATTCTTTTTCTATTATTATTATTTATGTTTCTTTCTGCTGTTAATATTTTTTTATATTTATTATTTTATTACTATAATAACAGTTTGTTATTTTTACAATTAATAGTTACTTTTAGTATTGATATTAATATTATATCTACTTCTACTATTAATATTACTTTCTAGATTGATATTTACTTTTTCTGTTATTAATAATTATATTAATTGTTATTATTAATATTTACATCTACTACATTTAATATTATTTATATGAATCTCTACTATAATAATAATAAATATTTACTTTTACTACTATAATTATTATTTTTTATATTTACTTTTATTGTTAATAATATTGACTTTTATTATAATTATTGTATTCATTAAATTCTATATGTAATTTTTATTTATAACATTTACTTCTACTATAATTATTATACATTAACTTATTTATATATATAATTATTTGTCTATATACCACTATTACTATTATATGTTTTAACTTTATATATGTATAATTATTATATATTTACTATTATTATTATATACTTAACTTTTATATATTATTATTAGTGTTTATATTTAATTCATCTATAATTATTATATTTACTTCTACTATTATTATTATATATATTAACTATTAGAGTATTATTAGTATTTAATTTTACTTCTACTATTAATATTCTTATAGTAACACTACTATTATAATTATTTATAAATATTATTATTAACCTGCAATTCATCGTTTGCGTAAAAATAGGCTGTAAAACAGAAGTGTAGGAATTTTTTAATTGCTGTTCATTAATTCCACCAATCCCGTACAAGTGCAATGCCAAACGGCGAAAGTCATTGGTCAGAACGGCCATGACGGGCAAGACCCACGGGAGACTGTCGTTGTATATTTTGTCGGAAAATTCTTTTAGAACTTTACTTTGATAAAAAAATTGCTGAGGAAAAAATATTATAAACAAAATTTATATAAAAAAATTTAAAGTTAAATTTATTATAATTTTTAATGATACTAATAAATTTATTTTTAAATAAATTAATAAAATTTAGTTGTGAATATAAAAATTTATTATCAACATAATATTAAAAAAAATTATGACGAAGAAAACTATTTAATAATTCTATAAACAATATTATTTTTAAAATTCACAAACTAATGACAAAGAAAATAAAGTTAAAGAGAAAAAAGGAAATTAATATAAAATTTCAAATACAAAAAATACAATAATAATAAAAAATATATAAATCTTGACGAATTAATTTAATTTAGATAATAAATTTATAATAAAAAATAGTAACAAATTATATTAAATAAATATAAAAAAATTAACAAAATTACAAAAGAAGATTTGAAGTAAAGAAAAGTAACTAAAAAATCAATAAAGTTAAGAAAATTTAGATTTATATATAATAAAAATTATTAATTTTAAAAAAAATATTTAATATAAATAAAATATTTATTTCTAGAGTAAAACAATTTTTTTTATCAAATTTACTTTAATATAATTTAAAATTAAAAAAAAGGACCAAAAAATATTTTATTTCATAATATTTATAATTTTATAAAACAAGTAATTAATGAAAATAAAAATAAATAGTTTATTTTTATTAAAAATTATTTTTCAAAACAAAAAAAATTTAAATAAAATAAAACTTCCTTAAAATTTATAAATAAAGAAGTAGCAAATTATAAAAGGGAGATAACAAAAAATAAATAATTTATTTTAGAAATAAGGAAAATTCCGTATATTTTATTATTATAAAAGTAACGAATTATTAAAGAAAATAATAGTGGTTATTATTAATAAAAAAAAATTCAATATTAATTGAAGTACATTATTGAAAAAATAACTAGTATATTATTTACTAACAAAATTTATTTTCAAAATTAAAGTAATTTAAAAAAAATTATGACTTTCATAAAAGTTATTATAAAAAAAAGTAACAAACAAATATAAGGAGATAAAAAAATTAATATTATATTAGTAGAAACTTATATAATTCATATAAATTTGAATTAAAAAATTATTTCACACAAATCTAACAAACTTACTTGATCCAGTTGGCTTGTAATAATAGATCTGCAGTGCGCCTCAAAAATTTCAAACCAGCCTAACTAAAAAATTTTTTTTTCCAGATAATAAAAAAAGACAATGGCTACCTTTTGGTAAAAGAATGCGAAATTGACTTAAATTCGAATCAAAATTTTCTAGAGTATATTGTTAAATTAATAATAATAAAAAAACTAATAATTTATACGTGAATTATTAATTATTAGTTGGCAAGTAGCGGAATCTTCTCTAGATAAAACCCGAGAAAGAGTTGCACCATCCTCTAGTAAAATAGCCTAAAAAAAGTTAATAATTTTAAAGAGATAAAATTCTAAGAATTACAAAAAGTTACCTGCTGAATTTGATCACACAAAGTTAATAATATATCTTGCATTTATATATTAGTTATTAATATATAATTAGTAATATTAAAAATATACTAAAATAAATTTTTTATAACCAAAAAAAAATAAAAATACAAAAAACGAGTAGAAAAAGCGAGCAAAGTTTAAACAAACATCCAAAAGTTAGTTCTTGTGATAAAAAAAGTCGATGGCCCACGTGACTCCGCTGCTCTAAATTATGTATAAAACACGTTGAAGACTTTTAAGTAATTTTGCTTTTTACTATTTTTACTATATAAAAATGAACAAAAAAAGACCAGCAAAAAAAACTTTTTCTTCAGGTTTCTGTAAAACAAAGAAAAATAAAGAATTTAATAATAAAAAATCTATTTCTAAATTCGCTGAAGGAAATAAAAATAAACGGTTTTGCAGTGAGGATAATATTACGGAAAACTCGAGTAGTTTATGTTGCGAATGCTTTTTTTTTTTTATTTATTATAATTATATTATTAACAGAAATTGATAAAATTGAAAGTAATCCGAAGTTGCTTAAGAAAGCAAGAAAATTACAAAAACCCAACGGAAGTTTGGTCTTACTTTTTTTTTTTTAATTTATTGTAAATATAATTATATTTATAATTATTATTACTATAAATCAGATTGAACAAGCCAAGCAAATTTGGAATGATCTGCGCGTAGAAGAGTTGGAGAAAAAAAAACGCACTGATTTAATGAAAGAAATAATGATTGTTATTTCTGGCCGCATTCAACAAGTTATACAATTTTAATATAGAAAAGCTTAAAAAACAATACATTTTCTATTCTGAATATTTATAAAAATACATCACTTTGTATTTTTTATAAAGTTTTATATAAATTGTGTGATATATGAATTTCTGATTTTTGGTTAGCTTTAGTAGAATTTTTCTAAGAACTTCTTTTTTTTTTTTTAAACTATATTAAAATATTAAAAATAAAATTAAAAAAAGTTTCATTTTAAGTAACCAAAATATTAAACTATATATTTTAAATTTTTCATTTACATATTAATAGTAATTTTCTATGGTTTACTTTTTTAAAATTTTAAGCAGATGATTATAATTTAACTTTAATTTTAAATTTTTTATTAATCCAGCTTATAAAAAATTTATTTAAATTAATTAAAGTTTTGATTATAAATGATTTTAAGTTTTAGTGAATAGTTAAAAATTATTAGATTTTTAAGAATTAAAATAAATTAATTTTTTTTTTTAATTTCTAATTTTTTTGATTTTTAATATTTAAATTTATTTAAAAAAAAATTTATTTTAGTTTCTAAAATTTTAGTTACAATATTATTTTATTGCTTTAATTAAATTATTTTTTTACAAAATATTCGATTTTAAGATGGTCTTTAGGCACGACGCCGCTCGGATTATTCAGTGTTGCTTAAAATACGGCTCTAAAGAGCAGCGCTCACTTATTATTAGCGAACTTCAAGGTTTTCATTATTATTTATAATAATAACTAATTAATTTTACCATTAATAATTATAAAATAATTTGATTTTAAAGTTTTTATTATTTTTTTCATAATAATAAGTAAATTATTATTATCTATATTTCAAATATAAAACTATTATTTATATATATAAATAATATTAATAATAGTTAGAAGTAAACTGTTAATATCGATCTCCTCATTACATTTTATACTAATAATAAGTAAAATATATTATATTATCGAACTATCAGGTTTTTGTTATTAATTTATTTATTTATAAGATATATATATATAATGTATTTTAAATATAAAACATAATAATAATAAAAGTTATAAGTAAAATGTTTATAAGAGAATTTTAAGGTTTTTATCTATTTTTTATAATAATAATAAACAAAATATATTATATATAAAATTATAATAAAATTCATTATTGAAATATATATCTAATATTAATTATTCTAATTAAATGGTTATAAACGATCTTTAAGGTTTTCATAAACAAGAATTTTATATTAAAAATAATAATAGAAAATGTAGTAAAGTTGAAGAGTTTATACAATATAATTATAATTATGAACTTTTATTATCATATATTTATACATAAATTTTATAATAACTATAAATAAAACGTTTTACTTTTTTCTATATAATATATAATTATATTCATAAAACTTTTATTATTATAACTATATTTTTTTAATTTAGTTATAGTTATAAGTAAAATGTATTACGTTTCATTAATAAAAATTTTAAAAAAATTATAAAAAAGTTAAAGATAATGTAAAATATAATAATTTTATAAAACTTTTATTATATATTTATATATAAAATTCTGTAATAACTATAAGTCAAATGTATTTACTTTTTTATAATAAAAATATATAATAAAGTTAATTATGTAAATTATAATTATATTTATAAAACTTTTATTATTTATTATAAAGAATGTGCTTTCTTTTCGATCTTTCTATATAATAAAAATGTTAAAAAAATATAATAAAGTTGAATTATAATTATAAAACTTTTATTATTATATATAAAAGAATAATTAATTTATAAATTTTATAAACTTTCGATGTTTTTGTAACAATTCAACTCGAAAAATATAATAAAGTTGAATTATATAAATAATTTTATAATAATTATGAAGTAAAGTATATAATATGCGAACTTTATAATTTTTATTAAACGTGAAATATATTTAAATTTTTATTAATTTTTTTTGCTCATGATTATTTATGATTTTTAAATTATTTTTGGTTTTATTTTAGTGATTATACTTAATTATAAATTTCTTTATTTATATTTTGTTCTTATTTATTTTTCATTATAATTATTAATTTATAATTTTATTATTTTTTTTAATTTATATTTTATTATAGATTTCTTATTATTTATTTTATATTTTTTATGATAAACTATTTCCTCATTATTATTAATGATTTTTGATTTTTTTGGGTTTTTATTTTAGTGATTATATTTATATATATTTAAAATTTATACATTTTTTATTATAATTATTAATATAATATATAATTTTTATTTATTTATATTTTGTTCTGATTTATTTTTATTATAAATTTAAAGTTTTATTATTATTATTTATCTTATATTTATTTTAAGTTTTATAAATATTTTTTATTTTCTTTTATATTTTATAAGGAAAACTTTTTATTATTATTATTTTTCTATTTTTTATTTGATATTTTTTTAAAGTTTTAACATTTTATTTGTAATTCATTTGTTATTTTTATAATATTTTTTACTTTTAATTATTAGTAATTAAAATTTTTAAATTTAAAAATTATTTTGTTATTTTTTTTGGATTATTTAATATTATTTTTTTATTACTCACAAAAAAAAATTAAAAATAAAACAAAATTTGCTTTAAATATTTTTAGAAATATTTGGATTTTTTTATTTTTTTATGAGTTTTTACTTTTTTACTTTATATTTTTTTAAATTTTATTATAAAAATAATAAATAAATTTAATATTATAAACTTTTTACTTATTATTAATTCTGTTTTCTTTATTATAATAATAATTAATATGCTGAAATATTATATTTTATACCAGAAAAGCAGAACTTTTAAAGTTTTTTATAACTTTTTATATATAAGTATTTTGAATTATAATAAAATATTATTACTATTACTTTTATTTCATTATTACTATGAACAGAGCGTTTTGTTGAGCTTTTTAAGCAGAAATATTCCAAATTTCTCGTACCAAAAATGCTTAAATACGGGTTTATTATTATTTTATTGTTATTACTATTATTATATAAAAATATACCTTAATAATCTCCTTTAACCTGAGAAGTTTTAAAAAGTTTTTAATAATAACAATAAAGTAATATTTTTATTATAATAAATTCTTTAATAATAAATTGATAAGTTTATAAATTTATAAAATAAAAAGTGAAATAAAAACAATATTAAATAAGAAATTTACTATATTTAATGTTAAACAAAAGTGAAAGCATATTTTTAATGAGATATGATTATGAAATTTTAAAAGTAAGCAATAATTATATTTATTCATAAATATGAAATACTATTATTGTTTTTAAAAATATAAAGAAATCAGTACTGTTAAATTTAGAAAACTTTTATTATTAATAGAATTTTCTATCAGTAATAACATAAATAAATAAAAAATAATAAATATGATAGTATATAATTATAGAGAAAAATTAATCCACTAATATATATAAGGTCATATAATAGGGAAATATAAAAGTATATTTATATTATTATTAAAATAAATGGATATAATATTATAACTAAATAATAAATAAAGAATACTTAAAGTGTAGGAAAATTATTATTAAAAATAAAAACAGTGTAAATAAATATTAAATAATAAAAGTATATAATCGTTTTACAGAAAAATAAAAAGTATATAGTAAAAATATATTTCATTATATTATAAATAAATAAAAATAATAAAAGTTTACAAAAATAAATATTATAAAATAATTATTAAAGTATATTATAATTTTTTTATAGAGAAATAAAAAATTTATACTAATAGTGTATAAATAGTATATATAATAAATAAAAATATTAAGTATACAAGTATAAATAATACATTATAAAGAAATAAAGACATGAAGATATATCTAGTAAATATTTAAAAAATAACATTTCTTATAAAGTATTTAAGTTTATACTATAAAGAAAAAATGAAAAATATTAATAAGTATATAATAAGGAAAACTATCTATTATTATAAAGAATAATATAAACAAACAGAAAAGTAAATACATTTATTATAAATATCAGTGTTATTATTATTATTAAGAAAATATTAAATTTAATTTACAAAAAACTTTTTCAAAGCATATTCGGTTTTTCATGGGGAAAAAATTTCATATTAGTTATAGAAATTGTACTAAATTATAGTGAGCATCGTCTTCCAGTTATTTTTCCCTAGTAAAACTTTCCAACTGTTTTATATAGTCCACAAAAGGTTATAAAAGTATTTAAATTTCTTAGGGTTTAATATTTTTTATATATAGTTATGTGCTGCAACTTATGACAAAATGTTTTAAACAAGTTTATTAACAGCATTTTATGTTATAATGTTCTTAGAGGAAAAGAGAATCGCAATTTGTTAATAAGCAAAATTTACGGAAATGTTATTCAACTTTTGAAGCACTCCGTCGCTGGAAAAGTTTTATTATTATTATCATAAACATTTAAACAATTATTTATATCTCATTAAGTAGCGAATTATATATATATATAATATAAATAAAATAATACTAATTAGTAAAAAATATTATATATTATAAAAAACTTTATAATAATTTAATATAATGAAATTATAAATATTTATATTTTTTAGTAAATGATTAAAAACATTTCTTTAAATAATAATAAGTAAAAAAGTTGAAGAAAAAACCTAATGAAACTTCTAATATTATAATAATAATGAATTCCTGTTAACTATAAGCCAGCCATTAGCATATTTTATCGCAACATTGAACCAATTAAAAAGTTGATATAAATTTTTATTTACATTAAAAATTCAGTAGAAAAAAAATTGATATAAATGAAAAATACAATAAATAATATTTAAAGTTATATATAATTATATTAATATTATTAAAGTCTTTATTGTTTTCTATTGTATATTTTAATAAAAGTTATTTTCAATTAAAGTTTATAATAACTTTTTATTATGCTAATAAAAAATATCTCTAAAAAAAAGTCTATATATATTGGATGAATTTTAAAATATAAATATTAAATTAATATAATTCTTGTAGTAAATTATTTAAAAACCAATCGGCGTTTTGTGAAGTTTACAATTGACCAATAATTTGATATTTTTTATAACATATAAAGTTAACGCATTAGTAAAGTTTATATATAAAAAGGTTCTATTATGTACTTTTCGAAAGTAAAATATATTTAATAATTATAAAACATGAATAATACCTATTTTTTAAGTTTACAAGTGAAGTTTTTATTTTTTAGAGAGTATTGTTAGTAACTAATAACGTTTTTAAAAGTAAGTAAAATATACCGAAAGGAAAATAGATTTATATAAAAATAATATAGAATAATAGAAATAATATATACATTTATTAAGTTTTGCTATCACGCTGGTAAATAATTAGAAGTAAAAGAAGTTATATTTATATACTGAATGTTTATTATTATTATTAATGATAATATATTTTCCAAGCTATTACTTTTAAGAAAATAAAATAAAATAAATTTTTTAAAGAAAACTTATTAAGTAATAATTATTATTATTTATAATAATAAAAAGTTATATTTTTTTATAAAATATTATATGTATTATAATTTTTATAGGCTATAAGTAATATAAGGCAAAAAGGAACAAAAAATTTTTTATAGTTCTTTTATAAAATAGAAACAGAATTATATTTACTTTTCTTAATAAATGATATAAAGAGAATTTCTTAATATATTAAATTTTTACTTAATGAAAATAATGAAATTCTATTTTTTTGATATATATCTAAATAAAAAATTTTATACTTTTTATATAATATAAAAATATATAAGCGGAATTATATATACTTTTTTCAAACTATAAACAAGATAAAATAAGAAAACATTTTTTTAAAAAAATCTTTTACGTAATAAAAATTATTTTTTATAAAAATAAAAAGTTTTTTATTTTTCTATATTATTATTATAAAAAATGTAAGCGGAATTATATTTACTTATAAAAAATAATGAAAGATTCTTCAAACGGTTTATCTAGACTTTGCTACTGGCCAACAGCGGAATCTTCTTTTTCAAGATTTGTTGGGCCCACAATTCGCTGTTTTTAAGGTTTTGTTTTTTGCAGCCAATGCGTGAGTTGTATTTTTTATAATTTGGGTATAAAAAAAGTTGATTTTTGAATGCGACCAATGATAGCTTATATTTTTGTTTTGAACTCATGGATTGGTCGTTTTTATAACAATACCCATTTATTTTCTTAAAACAAATACCGAGCTTAAGTATTTTTTTTACTCCAATAATAAAGAAAGCTTTGGTTTCTCTTTGCAACCATTGCCGTTTTTATTTTCGTCAGTAAAATTAATAATTATTTTGACAAATTCTTAATTAATTCGTAACAAAAAAAATGAATGGATTTGTTACTTTTTATATATTTATTATGTTTATATTCATTTTTATTTTTTCTTTTAACTTTCACTATACTTTTTGTATATATTTTTTCATAGAACTGTTTTTTGAATAAAATAATTGAACTTTTATTTTCTTAAATTTTCATGATTTACTAATAAAACTTGTACAGAAAATATTACACATTATATTCTTATAAAGTTTTTATATTAAATAAAACTTTTTTATATATTAAAAGGATAAAGTTATTGACGTTGCGTTGGTATATACTTTTGAACCAGAAAATCGTCGAACTTTACTTAAACATTTAAAAAATAATATACAAACTTTACTTAATAAAGGAGTTTACGAAAATGCAATACTTCATCAGGCTTTGTATATTATTATTATTACTACTTTTAAATATAAATATTAAAAAAATATTATTTTATTATGTAATTATTATGGATAATTATATTTATTACGAACATTCGCTTTTTCTGTGGATGCCTTGTTAAATTTTATTGGTCTATTGCTTTTTGTTTGTTTTTTATGAATTTTTTGTTGTACTTTTATGTTGAAATTTGTTCTCTGCTTATTAACCAATTAACTTGCTTCTTATATTTTATTGGTCCTTACTATACATGAATATTTCTTATTATTACTATTCTTATATGATTAGTCCATTGAATTATCTATTATATTATAAACAAAATTGCGCAGGAGTTCGCTATTTTTTATAATAAACATATTTGCCTTATGACTAGACCACTCAACTCCTTGAATTTTTTATATTTATAATAATATTTTAATGTTTTTATTTATAATTTTTTCCAAAACTCTGCTTATTGGTCAATAATTATCGGGATTTTTGTTAACCCACCATTTGGGGTAAATAGTTTCCTTAAAAATATTGAACATATAATTTTTTTCATGTTTTTATTATTTATTAAATATTTTATTGTCATCACTTTTTTGATATAATTAATGCTATTCACTATCGTATATTATATTTTTAGACACTTTTATATGGAAATTGCCGATGAAAACGAGCTCAAGGAAATGGTGGGCTTTATTAAAGAAATTATTATATATATTTTACACACAGAAAAAGGCTCGCAAGTTGGTATGAAGTGCATATGGAACTCTTCTGCAAAAGTATAATACTTTTAGTTTATTATTATTATCATAATAATTATTCTTATAATTATAAGAAAATATGTATAGAAAAACTGATAGGGTCTATAATAACCAATCAAACAATAGATTGTGACTATATGTTATTTGGACCAATAATTTCTATTTTTTTACTTGTTTTAATTTATTTATTTATATATTATTATTTTACTGTTGTAATTACTGAAGGACCGGAAGATAATATTAAAGTCTTTCAAGTCTTTTATTTTTCAAATATGTAAAGAAGAATACGGCCAGCGCGTTCTTCTTGCTGCATTGGATTCTGTTGATGATACTATTCTTATTAAGCACGTCGTCATTAAAGTTATTATTATTATTATTATTATTTATTATTATTATTATTATTATTATTATTATTATTATTATTATTATTATTATTATTATTATTATTATTATTATTATTATTATTATTATTATTATTATTATTATTATTATTATTAGGAACTTTTACAATATTTAAATGAAATTATCTACCACAAAACTGCTAGAAAAGTACTGCTTTACCTTCTCGGTCATCGAGAAGCTTCTCAAATAAACAAACATATCCTTGCGAGCTTAAGTCTAGGCGATGCTAATCCGTACAGGTTTTCTTTCTTTATTTATTTATTTATTATTATTCATTATTATTATTTTATTGTTAGTAAGAAATGCATGGAAACAAGGCGAGAAGAACTTCTACGTCATCTACAAGATCCTCTAAACGAGTATTTGTGCGACCACCTCGACGATATTGTGAAGACCGGCGTCGCTTCGCAGGTGATTCTCCAGGCCGTCATTAATACGAAAGGTTTGCTCAACCTTTAGAGGACCACATGCGTATATTTTTTAACTGAGCGCTATTTCCGCTTTTTTTAAAGGAAATTCTAAGCACATGCTTGTTTCCGCCCTATTGGACAGGTGTGGCGGGGAACATTGTCTTTTGAAACACGACGTCTCTGGACTTTTAGTGAAAAGAATTATATTGCATTCTTACAATTCTAATGGTCTTGTAACATATTTATACTGCAAATAATATCGTGAGCATATTTCCCCCCATTTAAGACTTGGTGGACTTTCCCATGCGACTTTGGGAACGGCTCGAAGGCCGCCTGGCGGAGTACATTGGTAGCAAACAAGCCTGCTATACTATTGCGTCCCTTCTTTCAGAACGCTCAATGGATCTCGCAGGTTGCTCTATTTCAGTGTGATGGATTGCATTTACAATAATAATTTTATTGGTTTACAGATAGAATATGCCAGGCGTTTTCCGATATCTCATTTGACGAATACGCCACAATGCGGGCGTGTACCGGTGATCCAGCCACGAGGGTTCTCACAGCCCAAGGAGCGTTAAAAGCGGATCTGGAAAAGTTTTCGCTTTCAAGGAAAGAGACTCTTTATTTTCCTTGAAAGGACGGCAGTTATCCGCACACCGAGTTGCATTCGTTCTTGCTCGCTTGACAGTGGTTGCGATTTCCAAATGACTCGATCTGAATGGTGCTGTGGTGAACCCCGAACTTTCTGCACGCAACATGCTGAGCTCGCACGAGAATCGTCTTTCCGATTCGTTAAAAAATAAATAAAAATTCTTAATGAGATTGAACGGCATACATCACGGCGTTCCGATAAGTAGGCGGACTCCTCAAGCTGCAGGTGGACCGCCATTGCGTGTTTTCCTAATTCAGTCAAATCGTGGGGAAAAGTAAGGGTGGTCAATAGTAAATAATTCAACCAGTAGTTAGGGACCACACGTGGAGATCATGTGTGTGTGCCACTCCCGGAATGGCTTCCAACGCGGCTATTAGAGCCAAACGGTCGAATCCTGTTCGAGACAGTAATTGAAAGTTTTAGTGAAAAATAAAAAGTTTTTTTTTAATGTCTGCAGGCGGAGCAGTTACCTCGCGGCGTGCCTTCCATGAGCACCAACGTAGCGTCCTTTTTTTAATATAAATCATAATAATAATAATAATAATAAATCCAACTCTTGTTATGCTAATCGTCGTCAGCATCACAATAACAGAAAAAAGCAACGTGCAAATCGGATCCACAATTGTGAATTCTGGTCTGATCCAGAGCACTACGGAAGCTATTAAGACTCCCTAGTTGGTTGGAATTTACTAAATAATATTAAATAATTTCGTATCGCTTGCTAGCGCTTACCAGCGACTGAATGAGATCTCCAAGTACGTGAAGGTACGCGGCTCTTACATTTATGTTCGTACTATAAAATAATAATACTATAATAATAATAATAAACAAAAAAATCTACATGTCTGTCATAATTGGATCTTCAGTTTCTTCAGAATCGTGACTCGTTAAAGACCCCTCCGATTCTAAGTTTTAAATAATATAATTATATTTTATAATTTTTAAAGATTTAGATTTCAAAGATTTTAAAATCGTAAGAAAGCTTAATTAAATCTTGCCATTTGTCTCATGAATATGTGAATGATTTGAATGACGGTGGGAATGACCCTCGTCAGCGTCGTGATGATGATGAGAGTGCCCATGGGAATGGCCGTGGCCCAACGCTAAAGCCATACTAAAAAGTTTTATGAAATATAGATTTCTAAAACAGCCTTTAGAGAATAGAACAGTTTATAATAATAAACGTAAAAATCTATAAAATTTAAAATAGGATACATAAAAAGTTTAAAGATTAGAACTTAAAATTTATTTTAAGTATAAAAGTATAAATTTAATGAAAACCGTATTTAAAAAAAGTTCTAAAAAATTAAGACATAAGTTATTAAGTAGAAAAATATAAACTTTAAATAAATGATTTATACAATATGTTCGCGCAAAGACCGCACGCTGCTGTGATAAACATAATTTTGCCATTAACAATTTTCCGGTGAATTAGCCTTAAAACAGCCTCATATACAAGAAATCCTTTTTTTTGAAGTAAATTTAGTAAATAAATAAAACTAAAACTAAAACAATAGTAAAAATACAAACCTGTAAGTAGCCAGATAAGAAAAACGGAAAAAAGAGCTCCAATGATTTCTAATATTAAGAAAATGTTAAAATTTAATTTCTAATTAAATCATTTGGGGACTCTTGCCTGCTCTATGATAACCAAACGATAATTTTTGTGTTGCTGGACGCCCTTTTTGTATTATAAATAAAGAAGTTGATTGTTTAAAGCAGTTATAATAATAAAAACCAGCAATCCAAAGAGAAAACAAGCTGATAAGCATACTAGCAAAATCACTCAGCAAGTGAGCAGCGTCGGTCATTATAGCTAAAGAGCCCGATAAGTAACCTCCTACTATTTCTCCAATCATAAATACAAAGCAAGTAAATGCTGCCATTAACAATTTATTTCTAGCCGACTTTCTCCCTTTATCTATAGACCAAATTCCATTATTAACTGTTGCGTTTTCAATCACAGTGTCTTCATTTTAAGCGAATTATAAAGTAATAAAACTAATATCAGTTAAAAACTATAACATTCCAAAACTACCATAAGAACTATTCGGTGAGTCTTCAATCAGCGGTCTACTCTCAGCGTCAACCAACATAATTTAGAATATCTTTAAAAACACTAACAACAACGCCAAACTTAAAAAATAAAAAACTATCGTGCAAGGTGCACGCTTTTCCCCTAATTAATATACATAATATCATATGCTAAGCCAATGCTAGAATTTGGTTAAGTGCGTGTTCTGCTGGATGGTTTCATATCATTGATAGAATTTATCAGCATTCTAATAGTTAAAATTGTAAATCAAATTAATACAAATCATTATATATTTATTTTTCTAAAAAAAAGAAATGAAAAATTTGCTAACATGAATTACTGGTTTCGTTTATGGGTGTGACAGGTTTATTTCCTAAAGTTTGTAATAAAAATGTTCACAATTAGAAAGTGTTAAGAAAACTTTTGCAAGTGTAACTAAATAATAAAGAAGTATATATTAAATAATAATTAATAATGCATTATGTAGATTTATTTGCGAAATATCTTTTTTTTTCAAATACAATTAACCCTGATAATATAAAAACTTGGTTTTACTATTTAATAAAGACTTTTTTTTTATACACCCTAATGTTAAAACTAATTTTTTTCTTAAATGTTCGATTTATTTGTACCCAGAAGAGTGCCTTTGCACCTTTTTGAAGCGCATATGAGGATATTCAAGAAGGTTTATAATTAAAAGTGAAAATTGATCCTGGGTTAGTTCTGAGACAGTTTTCATAGGACTCGATGTAGCAAAAAACAAAAAAAGTCCCCTAGTGTTGGTTTAAGTTGTTACTCAAAGGTAGATAGGTTTTAAAAATGATTTCATAATTAAAAACGTTATGCAATGTGTGTGTAGCCATTAACGTAGTTGTATAAACATAGTAGTTTTTACAGTGCTCATCAAATATATGCTGGGTGTTTTACAACTACAAATTCGTAATCATTTTAATTTTGCCTTATTTGAGCGATTTTCCTTCATTCGTGGACCTTAAAATGTACTTTCCAGCAAAATTAAGTTAAAATGCTTTTTTCTACTAAAAAGCGTGTTTTTAAGATGTTTGTTGACTTATAGGTGAAACCTTTATTTCTTAACCCTTATTCGAACAATATAATCTGTTTTAATATCTATACTTTTCTTTAAAATTAAATTTAACTTGATGCTTTATGTACGCCCAGTGACATTTATAGGTTCTAATGTATTATAAAGGGTCTAATAGGCTATGACTGGATAAAGGCTAAATACTTCACTTGAAAAGGTTTATACATATTGCTTATTGTTGATGACTAACTCAAGAGAATTGGCAGTTTTTTAGGAGGTGTGGACAACACTCAAAAGGTCGAGGTCAGATATTTAGAAAGTGAATCCTTCTTTGAACTCGAATTATTACATCCCTTATTTTTGTTTGTACAATTTATAGTGGAACCCGCTGACTTAAAAGTTCAGTAGATGGTGTTTTATTGTAAGTTCCAACGAAGTAGTTGTACAAAATTATTAAATCTTTTTGCTTTTTTAAGCGAAATATTTCATTGCTCCGCTGCCGCCAGTTAATTTATTGTTAACAGTTCTTAAATGCCTACGTCCTTAATGAATAAGCGACTGGAATAAGCAAACCACCCCCAGTCAAGTCGTTTGCGTGATGAATATAATTTAACTAACGATTAATGATTTCTTTTTTTCTTAATTTTTAACTATTGTTGACTGTACTAGTCGAAAAAAATATATATCTACACGAAGGAAACTTGAGAAGTTTTAGAGACCACAAGTTGTATGAGTAGTTGAAGTTTGCTAACCTGACTGAACGCCAAAGAATCTGTTTATAATTAGTTAAATATATAAGCGAGTTGGTAGCAATAACTTCACCTCCCCTTTAAGTAGAAAGCTGGGTGTCAAGCCCCCTAGGCGGGCGGTACTGCGGACATCCGTCTCCAGGGGCCAGGACTTGTGTGATAGGGTGTAAGCTGAGGTTACAAGGGTTTTCCACTCAAAGGAAGATCGCCTTTTTCATTATACTCTGCAAATTGAAAATTATACAAGGGGTGTTTTCATAAAAACTTAAAAGTCCTCATAAGTGGTGTTAACCCCTTATAGGTTACTGGTAACGATGTGGTCCAGTTGTCGCCTATGTTCATACTGCACGAGTAGGTCTATGGAAATTGACCCTGAACGCCATGCTCGGTCTCTAGAACAAGCTCTAGTAAGTTTGAGTACCATGTTCTAACGGATTAGGCAACAACCAACAAAATATAAAAAAGTGGTAAATTTAGTTACCAGTGCACGTAAAACAAATCTATTTTAAGCCCCGGAGTTTTACCCATTAAAGAGTTAAGTTCGTTGCTATACATACTAACCCTTAAGTGGATCTCTTTGTCCACGTTATATTAAATTTCGGTCGTTATGTTAAAATATATGAGTAAAAGCATTTACAGACTATAGCAGTTAAATAGGCTTGTTTGCCTTTTGTTTTAAAGTATACGATCCTTAGCAGCTATATTAAACTTCCTACAAGTTGCGGCCTAAAAACACGATAAAAAAAAATTAAAACAAATGCCAGTTTAGAATTACAACTTCTCCAATTCTTAGTAATAAGGAATGTACTTTTGCAATAAAATATAAAGTCTTGTGCTAACGCCAATATTAAGTATAATTAATGGTATACCTGGGCAAAAAAGTACAGTCTATTTTACTGGTTTACAAGTTACAGGGATCTATGCAGTAAAACTTGTTTAATTATTCAGATAGTGATATCTTTTCACCTTTACCCTATTACAAATAAATACTAAAATCACAAATTACACTATTTTTTTATTGAAAATTGCTTATGTGAATACAAATTATTAAATATATTTAATAAAATGAACTCTTACGAAGGTAAAAAATTACATTAATGTGAAAACAAAAATGACGTGCTTTATTAATTTTAACAAAGCTATTATTTGGTAAAGCTTAAAGTAAAAAAGTAATTTCTAAGTTTATTGAAGTCTTCACTGTAAAATACAGAATAGCAATCATGGTTCATATAATTTATAACAGCCTTTAACGCCGGAAAAACTTCCATTAACGTATTGTGAAAAACCGTTGAACCCAATACATCGTCATATGGAAAAAGTGCGTTGTTGGTGTGTTCCTCTTTTAAAATACTACCGAAAAAGCCATTGTCTTTTTTTAAGTTTTCAAGAATTTTATTACTCAGTGTTTTAAAAAATTCATTTTTTCTATGAGTGGCAAATATATTGTTAGCAACTCTAAATTCAGTAGAGCTCTCTGATGTAGTAATTTTGTCCGGGTATCGCAGTAGAACATCTTCATTCTTGGCAAAAATACGTTTGGTTAAGATTACTTGCGAAGCTTCTAGGTCATGATCCAAAAAAATGCCATAATTATTGTACATTATCTGATACTTCATAATGTCGTGTGACGCTTTATAGTTAAATTTTTCCCTGGCAGCCTCGTAATACTGACTTAATTCGTCATTTTCGAAAAAATGACGTAGTAAAGGATCATTTCGTACATTGTTACACTGAACTTTCATGTAGCGAAATCCTTCGTTATCAATATAATCATGGAGCTGTTTTTGCAGTGAGTCAATAATATCGTAATGTACTATTAAAGTCTCCGAAGAAGGAGGTAGATTCCGAAAAGTTTTTAAGAAATTACGCATACTCTCTACATCCTGAACGAAAAAATGCATTTTGTTTTTGATTAATTCCCTAGATTGAGGAAGAACTCTTAATAAAGAAGGAATAGGAAAATAAGTAACCTTTCCTTCATCAACAACTAAATTAAATTCATTTCTTGCTCTCTCTCTCCACTCACCATTTTCCAAAAGTATAGGACGACCTAATTCCATTTTGAAAGAAGAGTAGCATTTATATCTTCTCCAACTTTTTAATTTGATATCATAAATAACCTTTCGCATTATATTGTTAATAGTTACGAAGTATTCTCTGGAAAATAGTTTACCGCCTTCTTTAGATTGAATATTTACCATGGTAGCAGAAAGAGTGTGCGTATAAGGGAAGTTTTCACCAAGCTCCTTCTCTAAAATTTGAACACCTCCCTCACCAAAATAAATTTTCATGCCTGTACTTTGTACATTGGTTATGGTATTTTCACTTTTTTTAAAAGAAAAGAGTTCTCTTACATTACACCCTGTAGGAAAGACAATATAATTTTTATTTTCCGTAGTAATGATTTGAACGTTGTTTTGAATCATCAAATCCTTCTCTGCAGGATCTAGGGATAAGAAGGGAAAAACAATTTGGTCCTTTTCTAATAATTTTACATTGTTTTCGTATTTGTTAATACCTGTAGAGCTTAACTGTTCAAAATATTTAGCTACCTTTTGGTAAGTCTCTCCAGTAATTTTCATCCCCTTACCTTTTATAGATGAATAGTACTTTAAGTATTCCCTATACTTGGGTATACTCTCTTCTAAGCTTTGCGTGAAAATGGGGGCATAATCATCAATAGACTCTCCCCTACTTCTGACCTTTTTCAGGTTATCGAGAAAAGATTCTAGTACTAAAGGTTGTTCTTCCCCTCCTCTAATTTTGGAAGCTATTACGTCTCTGGGGACCACGTACTTTTGAGAAACTTCGTCAAAAACTGGTGTTTGAAATAATAGTCCGGTTTCATCGGGGGCCAGTGAGCGGTAAAATATGTCTGCAGGCACGTGAACGTTATTAGTAGGAAATATCCCTTCATAGAATTTGCTTAACTTAAGACGCATTAGATCAGAAACAAGGGCTTGACGCCCCTCTTCCATATAAGTTTTAAGCTCCTCTTCGAAAAATTCTTTTATATCATCAAAGTTTTTTAGGTTTATAACGTTGACATTGAAATATTCGATTTTTTCTTTAAAAATTTTCTGGAAAAATGGTATTTCCCCGTAAACAAATAAGTAGAGACGCTTTTCACGAGTAACAGGGGCCGAAAAAGTAGCGGCTTTGTTAAATTTTCCTAATACCTTAATCGCAGATTCATCGACGCCTTCTATCAGAAGAAAATTTAAGATTCCTGGCACTTCTCCTATGCTACCACCAGAATTAAGTAGTTGTAAATCCCAATTAAGTTTTGCGTGAGTCAA